TGTTTTGGCTTGCTGGCTTGGGAAGTTAGGTTCAGTCTGGAGAGATTCTTTCTTGAGATGGAAGCTAATAAACGCAACAGAACTGTATGAGTGCTCTCTCGGGGAGTTCTTTGGGCTGAACCTGACACTACTCAGTATGTGTGGAATCTGGATTCAGTTTTGACATCCTCAGTGAAATGATCTCTTGATAGTAATTGGGGGGAAAAGAATTCTGACCAAGATTCCAGATTGCTGTTTCTAGAAGATTAATCTGACTTCAAGTAATCCTTGTTTAGTGACTGCCTCATACAACTACTGTTTGCAGTTATGACGATGATGAAAATGTAACTTTGCAACCAGTCCTCACATTTATGACCTTTGCAGGTCTGTAAAGCAAAGAAAAGCTGAAGAAGATCATAAGCACAGTCACAGTTTCACTTAACAACCACTTCACTTAACAACCAAGTTGCTGGTCCCAATTGTGGCCACTAAATGAGAACTACCTGTAGTTACTTCTGAGACATTATGCCTGTTGCAGCTGTGTAAATAACATATTGATAGGCCAATTTTTTTTAGAATCTTTCTTAAAAGGACAATTGTAGTTTTGTATATTAAATTTGGCAATCACAAAACTTCTGCTGAAGAATGGCAGTTTGTTCTTGAACAGGTAAACCTCATTAAACAGTATTTGTTCTTTTTGTAGGCTGTGAGGATATTATCGCTGAGAGCATCTCGCTGGAAACCTTAATTGCCATTCTCAAGTGGAGCTCCCAGCCTTATGGCTCCAAGTGGGTACACCGTCAAGCCCTGCATTTCCTCTGTGAGGAGTTTTCTCAAATCATGACTTCAGATGTCTTTTATGAACTGTGCAAAGACCACCTGCAAACTGCTATCCAGTCAGACTACTTACAGGTAACTGTCTCTCTCTATTCAATTATTTTTACTTAAATGCTGAACCAGGCTTTCTTACCAGTGGTATAGAACAGAAGCATGCAGATCCTAAAACTTTGACCACTGAAGAAAAAGAAAAGATGCAAAACCTTGCTTGAATAATTGTGTGCAGAAGGGTTCTTCCTCTCCCTTTATTCTGGCATTTATACACACAAGTTGCTTGCAGAGGTAGTGATTAAGGAAAGTATTCTCCTTTCCTGGCACATAACCCAGCCCAAACTGGCAGTATAAACTATTGCTTGAAAGCCTAATAATAGCCTAGAAGCAGTTGCAAATTATTTTAAGTGAAACTCTTCTAGGCTTAATTTTTGTCTTGCCTCTTCAGAGGTTTATAGAAATTATATAGTAGTTCTCACACTAACAACATATATTTGGGAGAAGAAAATGGGAAATCCAGGCTCCTCATCCAAATATACTTTTCTTATTGGAGATGTACTAAATATTCTTAATTTCAACTAGTTTTTCATCCCACCCCACTCTACTGAACTCTGTTTCTAGTTCAGTAAATGAAAAAAAACTCAATTGGTAGTTGTTACCTAATTCAAAAAAGCCTCAGTTAAATATTACTTTTAAAAATACATCCTTGTATGCTTTTTTGCTCTGGATACATAACATGAAGATTGAAAATTTTTGGTTCATACAGTTGTCTTATTTTTCAGTCACTGAAGCATCAGAATAGTTAAATCAAAGTTCTTTTTTTAAAAAATCAGAATGTCACTCATATTCCTATACATGTTATTAAATATCAGCTAAGGGCCTATGGTTAGCTCCAGTTACTCTCTCCTCTGGCTTCTTTTGGCACATCAAGAAGACTTAGAAAAGGAAGTGGAGTATATTTATCTTGCTCCATTTAAATATCTCTGAAGCATAATATGCTTAGAGGAGGACCAACATTTTATCTCATGCCTGCCTGGAATATAGCAGGAGAAATGAGAGAATTTCTTGTTTAGACATCCATGAATCCATTTTGCAGAGATGGGACGCAGGCAATAGTATCTGCAGGGTATGTGTGTCAGAAAGTCGAGATGACACTTGTGACTATGCAATCAAAGCCTCTGCCCTTAGTACAAACATACAAAAAGTGGGAGTTCAGTCACATGGTTGCAACTGCCATTTTTGATGTTTTTACTTCCCCTTTGGACACCGTGGCCAAAAGGATATCTGGTACCCCATTGATTTCATATTAATAATAATAATTTATTACATTTATATGCTGCCCTACTCCCAGCAACTGCCCAGCTCTCTTCACTTTTCAGTTCTGCAATGCAAGAAGCAGGATTCCTTTCCAAGCAGGGGGAGTGTTATACCTACTATAGTTTTCTCTCTGTATTCATCTTTATATTTCAGTGCTGCTCTCTCATTAAGCCACTTTGAGTGCTTATAAAGAATTAAAAATATCAGCATTGTATGGAACAAAATACAAAAAGTTGTAACACATCCATAAAAACCATTGCACCAGGGGCAAACAATGTCCAGATACACATTATTAGACACTTTCACACAACAAACAGGCCTCAAAAGGCCCCCTAAAGGCATATCAATTTGAAGGTTGTCGGTCCCCCCCTTCCCCCGCCAGTAACAAAAAGTAAAATGCTGTAAGAAAGTTCCTTTGTAAAAATCCTAAAGTTTTTATTACCATCACTGCTAATTCTACAAAGGAACTTTCTTACAGCATTTTACTTTTTGTTACTGGCGGGGGAAGGGGGGGACCGACAACCTTCAAATTGATATGCCTTTAGGGGGCCTTTTGAGGCCTGTTTGTTGTGTATCAGCATTGTATGGAACAAAATACAAAAAGTTGTAACACATCCATAAAAACCATTGCACCAGGGGCAAACAATGTCCAGATACACATTATTAGACACTTTCACACAACAAACAGGCCTCAAAAGGCCCCCTAAAGGCATATCAATTTGAAGGAGACTGAAAGTTGTCGGTCCCCACCTTCACCCGCCAGTAACAAAAAGTAAAATGCTGTAAGAAAGTTCCT